CTTTTTTGCATGTGTATATGTGAATATTTTAAACTTCCCTGTTTCTCCTCTCTTTGCCTTTTATGGAATGTTATTACCAAGGCAAGTGATTATTACAGCACCAGAATTATCTGAGGTTAGATTGAAAAAAAAGATGACTTGGAAAAATCAGCCATTAGTGAGTTTGTACTGAAGCAGCATAGCTGAGATCCACTCCCTTTTTGGACATGAAGTGGCACAATGCTTCTTGGGTTCATAACTTCGATGGTGAATGTTTTTTTTCATTTATTGCCTCCAACGCACTCTCCCCAGAGATTGTGATAACTAATGGAGTACATCGTATGTGAATTAAACACAATTCTCTTGCACCTCAGGTTTTCCCCTGCTCTCCTCCCCTGCACCCATGTAATGAAATCTACTCCAGAAGTCCCTCTAAATACTGGAGCAGGTTTAGGGGTAGGCGGCAGGGAATCAGAGATAATGGGAATCCACTCCACAAGCAGATGCTGTTTGGTCAATGGACAGACACAACTAGATAAGCACCATTGTTTTTATGAAAATAATGTGTTCAGTGTCGTAGGCATGTGAGCTCACAGCAATGTAAACTACAAAACAAAACAAAAACAAAATAGTGCAGTTCTTATTAAGGAAAACAAAACACGAGATATAAAACATCGGCTGGGTTGCCTGCACCCATCTTTGACACTGAATGGGGGAGGCAGAGAGGGTGGAAGAGACTGTATTGTTCTTGCAGCTCTAATACTGAGATGTCCTTCTGGGCCAAGGATCAATTCTCTCCATGGCTTGGTGATTCATTTTTCTAAGGGAGGCAAAGGATGGATCACTGGAAGCAACCATTTCTAGTTCTGATTCATAATGTTGACTCCAGGGATGAGTCAAGGATATCATCATGATGGCTATTGCTGTTGGAGTCACTGTCATAACTCTGGGGACTTGAATAATTAGCTGCCTCCTGCAACCTCATCAGCATGTTCATCTGGTGAAATACAGAAAGAAAAATATTACTTGACCATCATGGTCAGTTATCTCTCTTGGGTAATTGAAGCAGACATGGAGTTCATGAACTGCCCCTGCAATTAGCAATTTGGGCTGGTCTCAGAGAATACCAGGTTTCTAAAAAGACTTCATACTGACTCTGCCCATACAACTGTGAGCCTTTAAAGCAGAATTCCTCAATTTGGTAGGACCTGCCATACTACTCAACAAGCACAGGGAAAGTACTATACATTCCAGATTAAAACATACTGTATGTTAATGTCACAGAGAAATAGTTCCCCCAGTACTGTTATAGAAAGTAAAGAGACATGGCTTTAAGATTTAGTGAGATCATTTACATTCCAGCAAAATTCAATGATAGATTTTTTTGCCATCATGGACTGATTTGCTCTACCCACATGACAAACAAAATAGACTTAACCAGTTCTTTCCTAGGGTATATTGACTTGCACTGTAATAGTGGGGATAACACTGAAGTTAGACAGTATGGAAGAAATTAGCACACATTGGAAATCCTGGCTACTCCTGGTTGAATAAACAATGAAATCCAGTACTGTCAATCTTACACTGGAGGATCCACGTTTTAATCTCATGATGACTTTTCTATTTGTCACACAATGTAATTAATACAAAAGAAACACCCTGTCATTCATTTCTGGGCTTCAAACAGTACAGCGGTTCCATGGGAAGCCACAGAAAAGCAATTTCTACAATGGTGCTGGTTATAACATAAAATAGCACCATATACATGGATCAAGAGAAACAGACATAAGTCACTGCCTTGTCATGGAGATAATAAAGCAGTGTTTTGTAACAAATATGCTTTCCTATCAATTTTCAGTGGCAGCTGTATTATGTAACCTCCCTGTCCTCAGTTCCAGTCAATACATTTAATGTAACAAACATATGCAATTGTCAAGCCCTAGAGTCTGGATGAGCATTCTGGAAGGATTCATTTATTATAAATTTGAGTCATTAAAATGCTTGTACTAAAACATGCTTAAGATCAGTATAAAACACAGTATATAGAGCCCCACAATAAGTTCATTTCCATCCAGCATAATTCTAAACTCCTAGCATAAATCACAAAAGACTACTAGGCCCATTCTGAGTTTACCTTTAGAACATTTTACAAATTAATTCGGAGAAATAGCCTTGATACTTCACATATTTAACAATTTATGATTTAATATAACTTATATGAATAGTATTGTGCTGATAATCTCACCAGAGGATCTCCCTCAGCATCACTCGGTGGAACCTGTTTGCTGGTTGAACCTTCCCGTGGCATAGAATAACCATCAAATCCAACATCTTCTGGCCGCAGTTGCAGCAAAGGAGGCCACTCATGATGTTGCGGGGAAGCTGCCCATGGATAAGTGTCCATCACCCATTTGGCAGGGTCCTCCCATGGTGCTCTTCTACCATACAACTGCAAGCAACAGCATGAACCCATTCTTAATAAAAATACTTGATATTAAACTTGTTTTTAGTCATATAATGTATTCTATAGCAATGCTCTCATGTTTTAGCACATGATCAACTCATCTGAGGAATCTTCCAATCTGGAAAAATACCACAAACAAAAGCAACCAAGGGTTCTCCACCCCTACATTTCCCCCCTTTAATCACAAAAAGTACATTGTATTTTGAGACAGCTGATTTTACATGCAAAATGAGCTGTGATCAATTTTGAAATATTTGAGACACTCCTAGTTAGGATATCTGATCTAGCGCTAGTTCTGAAAGTTTTCAGTAGACTTCTAGAAAACCAGCTGAGTTGTAATTAAAATAGTAATCTGGTGACATATTCCTTTCTTATATAATTATGGACATAAAATTTACAATTTTAGCCTAACCGCTCAACATTGGAAGAAGTCTGATAGCACCTTTTCAGACCAATGAATTTTATTTAAAGGCATAAGCTTTCATGAAATGTAGCTCACTCAGATGCATGGAGTGTTGCAAAGTTAACGGCAAAGCATTACAGTGGAACCTCAGTTTACGAACTTAATTCGTTCCGTGATTCTGGTCGCAACCCGAAGCAAATTTCCCCATAAGGTTCAATGTAATTACCGTTAATCCATTCT